GCAGGGTCCACCCACACCAGATGAATGACCTGTCAGACAGCAAATGAAGTTCAACCTTTATTAAACCAAAGCAATTATTTTTTTTTCCCCAAGATATGCTGTGATATAAATTAATCATATGAACAAAAGAAATGGACCTACAACCACCTCAGAATATACTTCAAATCTATGTGCAGTTACCACCAAACCAAAGGTGTTAGGATGGAGGCAAACAGGAAAATTACAGCATTATTATTAAAATGGTGTCTGTCAGAATATCGCATGCAGCACTTGTAACACAAACCCCAAAAGAATGGCATAAGTTACAGAGGTCCTGAGAACAGGGACAATTAGGATGGCAATTTCATGCTAAGACACAGAGAAGTCTTTCTAAATGAGAGATGAAGTAAATACAGAGCAAACAAAATTAAGCAACCACCTCATTTAACTCTAGAAATACTTCCTGAAACTGAGCAGGACAGGACAGTGTCTCTTTTTCACAACAAAAAAACCCACAACTATTCTTTTACACTTTGCTGACCACCCTACACAATTAAATTCTCCGCAGCAGTGAAATACAAAAACACAAAAGACAGAAATGACTTGTATGTCAGCGGAACTAGTTTTCACCCTTTCTAGCAGGTGTCATTTTGCACGAGAAAGTTTGACAGAAACAGAAGGCGAAATGCAAGAATTTTCCTGACACATCACTGCAATCAGAAAAGCAATTTTGCAATCAGTCTCTCAACTAGACTTTAGACAAAGCTAAATTAGTTGACAAGTAAGTTTACAGAGACACAGAAAACAAAACCGTGCAAATGAATATGTGATATGCAACACTCAAGAATACTCAACTCCAAGAAAACCACTACCAGCAGATCGTCTGTCTGTGGTTTATTACAGATATATCAACTGTCTGACAAAGTAGTAACTCGATTTCACCACTAACTTTAGCAGTCTTGAGAGGAGACATCTCTGGACAAGGGAACAGATTTTAAGTCCTGTGTTTTTTACTTAAACTTCTAATAAGAACTTTGTAATATTAACGCTTTAGCTTTCTATCGTGGCAACACAGCTTCACTGAAAAAAGTTTTCAAAACCCAAACATCATCTCTCTTTCAGACCCTCACTGAAAACAGTGTTATGGCCAGCATTTATGTCCCTGGGATACCTTAAGACCTAAGCAACCCAGAGGAAGCCTCATCTCCTACAACAAACTTGCACTGGTGCTAGTTAGAAGAGACACATTATTGTTGACTGGGCGTATCTGATAAAGAGCTAATGGCATGAACAAGTTACCTGTTACCTTTCTTGCGATGAATTCATTATCATCTTCTCCAAGGCCTCTTTGAAAGCTGAACTTGAGTGGGAGGGCAGATAACGATAAAAATAGTGTTAAACCAAAAATCCGTACTTGCGGTGCACTAGCACGTTTCCAGGTACCAGCTAAACAGCAGGACTCCCAGCAGCAGGATCGTATCAGTCTGACCCATACCCTCATTCCCTTCGAGTCTCCATAGTTCAGTCCACCCCACGGGCTCTTACTTCAAATTCAAAAATATTCAGAGTAGAGACTCTGCCTCTTTTTTTCTTTTTTTAAATATAATTATTTAAACAAATCAAACATTTAACCCATGCCCTGTTGTAGCTCAGTTCAACTAAAACAGAGCAAGGAAGTAGATGCCAGTCTGCTCTGCTTTCAGCTCCTCAACACTTTCCCAGGAAAGCAGGTTACAGAAAGGCCAACATTTAGCAAGAATGTCAACATAAAAAGATTGTCATCTTATTAAGGCAATAATCCCTACCTACTAACAGCAGAAACACCTCCCTACATGGTTCTCCCTGCTAAGGGGGGAAACCCACAATTTACAGAGAATAGTTTGAAGCTGCCCGAGTACATCCAGTGCTTGGATTCACTCTGCTGAAATCCCACTACTGATGAACACCATTGTCATAAGGCTAATCTCAACTTCACACAATTATTTCATCAACCACAAAGTTCACCTACAGACGACAAGATGAAGCAAATGAAAGAGGCTTTATGAAACCCCTCACAAATTTAAGATAAAGCCCTAGTAAGCTCATGTGTGGATGACACATAGGACTATATTACTTCCTCTTTGTCACACTAAAAGTAACCAGGTTCCATTATTATTTTTGGGCTACTTTCATGCTCCACTTCAAAGGCACCTTGGGCAAGACCTTGCCTCAAAATGAAACAGGCAATAATCCATCCAGGAGAAAAGCAAGTCTCATATTCCCTCCACTGTCCACAACCTAATCAGAAAGCACTTACCTCTCTCTCATCTAGAAGAAATAAATAATTATAATACCAGCCTAGTGTATCCTGGTCCTGATATATCACCTTCCATCTCAGCTGTTACAGGCAGATTGTAAACATAAACAAATCCACTCTGAGGGAGGAGAGACCTTCTGTGCCTCAAACAAAAAAAGTCACAAGCAGTGCCAAACACTGGCCACTCACAGAGCACCAAACTGAAGGCTATTGCAATGTAAGTATGATAATCATCAAGAAAACCTTGACAAATCCAATGAAACTTAGCAGGTTTCAGATGCATAGTAGTATTGCAAATATAAGTATTTACTCTATGGTTGGGGGTAACGTCCTTAAAATTAAACTCTAAACACGGATGACTTGGCTAATTCACATCCATCAAAACCATGTACAGAGCACTGAAAAAACGTGATTGATAAGATATCACAGAATCAATACGCCAGTTAAAAACTGCAACAGAAACAGAGCTGAGCACATCAAGATAACAGTTTGCAGAAAAACAAAAAAACAGAGCATAAGGCAAGTCAACTTGGATAATTAAAACATCGGCATAGTACACAAATACTCAAAGAAAGCTGGCAAGGTGGGGAAAACAACACAAAACCCCCTTTCAATTAAACAATTAATAAAGCAGGGAGTTAGCACACTAAGAGTGCAGTAACAAGAGGATTTATATCCTGAAACTTTCATAACAGTTAAGCAAGCTAAGATTAAATCAAAATCACTCCAACCCAAACAAGACTTCATTCTAGGCACATTCACTTAGAGTCAAAGGCAGCATCAGTGCCAGTTTTGTGCACCTCAAATTGTGGAATGGCTCTAAATGTTTCCCTACCGTCCTGCCTACCAATACCAGTTTTCTTAAACACACACGTCCACCCTGCAATGACAAAAACAGACCAGAAGACACTTGGAAAGCACACGGTTAAAGTGATGCTTCCAACAGGCTGCACACGACAAACTTCAATTCTCCCCTCTGCTCTGCCACCAAACAGCAGCACGTAACAACCGGTATCATCCCACCTGAGGGACAGGCTGCTGCCATCCCATCAGGCAAGAGTTCAGCTGGATACACAAACAACAACATATGCTGCAGAGCACAGAAAAATGTCAAAGTACGCTATAAAGCCCAAAAAGCCAAACTTATATTCGGCTACTGTTGCTTTAGCTTTGCTTTTCCTACGTTTCTGAAGTTAGGACAGGATCATGAAAGACTCTGATCCTAATGACACCTTTCCTGACTCCCTAGTTTGCCCTCCAACTGGTCAGCCTCACGTTTTACAGAGACACAAGCACAAAACACTGGTATTTCCACCCAAGACAGCGACGGGAGCAGTAGCTGGGATGAACAGTCCTGCTCGCCTTCAGGCACACGATTTAAAGTGACGTTTGGGCTGGAAACGAGCAAGCGTGTGCCTCCCGCACCCCCACAGTCCCCGGCTCGGTCTGGAGGGAAGCCGACCCCCAGGCTCCGCCCATAACAGACGCCCCCGAGCCGGCACCCAGCAGCGGCAAGAACCGGCTCCCAGGGCGGCTCCGCAACCACAGGAAGCCGGGAGAGTGCCGCGGTCCCGCACCGCCAGCAGGGGCCGGCCGCCCCC